GCCTGCCATGATTCCATTTAAACACATTCAAAGTCAAATGAATTGGTGCATTCAAGAGGCAAATGCTTTGAGAAATATATTATACTACTACTACTACTACTATACTACATACATGTATGTGTATATACATATTATTAAATATATATGAACCAATACATCTACATAAATCTAAGCTCAAGCAGTCGCTGACAATGTTCAGTTCAAATTCGGATTGAATTAAACTTTACAAAATTAAATGAAAATGGAAGTGAAATTTGTGTACTTACCACATTTGATACTGCCAGTTAAGGTCCACTCTAGTGCTACCAGCTGGTGTCCACTCTAGAGCTGTGTAAATTTGCCTTTAAAATTGTATTTTATTTTTGGTATTTGTGATTTTGTACAGCAAATCTATTTGAACTCAACTCTCTTTGGAGTTAGCAAAGTATTTGGGCATTAGGGTTTGTTGGCACTAGGCTAACACACACGGACACGCACACAGGCATACTCAGAAATACACACACACACACACACACGCTCACGTACGTATCTATTTGTATTTGTATTTATATTTGTTTACCGTTTTACAGCACTTATCCATTTAACTAGTTTGAACAGCAAATAGAATAGAAAGGCAAAACAGATCAGACTTTTGCTTTCAATTCAAATCACTTAAATGATTTACATAAATATTTCGGTATTTTATTCAAATTTGTATTTGTATTATTTATATAGAATTGAAAGACTTCAATTTGAAATTTTGTGATTTGCACTCGAAATAGTTTTAAGTATTTCGATTAAAATTTATGATGTTTCCAAAAACTGCTTATGCAAATGTGACTAAAATGTGTCGAGCCCACGCACACACACACACACTTACTATGCAAATAATATACTATTTCATAGTTGACTTCACACAATTTTCCACACTTTTTCCATTGCCATTTACATTTCAATTATCAAATTTTTCTCTTTAAAACTCTTGAATCACTTTTCGTTGCTTTCACTCTTCAAAATTTTGCTGTCTCGCGCGCCAATTTTCGCAGCATTAACTCTAATTTGATAACGGTATCTGTTGTCTTTTTTTTTTTTAATCTTTGTTTTCTTGCGAACCGACCGACCCGAACAGAGCAGAGCAAAGCAGAGACGTGGAAGCAACAAGCGTTTGTGCCGCAATGATAAAAGTTTGTTAACTGTGCAGTTTGTTGCCTCAGTTGCTTTTCGGTAGCGGCGAGAGCTTTCACGCGAAAGCTCTCCATTGCGCGTCGATGCGTTCTGATAAGGCAGCGACTCCGCTAGACTGAGCGCCGAGTAGGTACAGAAAGGCTCGACTAACAGATAAAGCTATTCAAATGAAGTTTCTTAACTCTGCAAATTGTTGCCTTCACAGTGTTTTGCTTACCTCTGATACACAGTACAGTGAAGCTTAGCTAAATGGGCATACAAAGCTAAGCCATATTTGATTTTTTGTAGGAAAATTTGAGTCGATGTCTACGTAAACCTAACCCACTATACCATACACTACAGTACAGTAATGCCTAACTGGGAATCTAGTTGAAGCAGTTGGATGTTAAGTAGGTGTGATAGATACTAAATAATAGAGAGCAGAAACTATATATTGTAGTACAGAATCTTACTCCAGCTATCATTCAGAATAGGTTCTCTTAGACTTTTACCTTTGTCTTACGGATCGATGGATAGGTGAAGTGAAGCAAGCCTGGCTATAAGCCTCAGATACATTTGTTTCTGTTTGCGTCACCCAACTTTATTCACTTCAGTTCTCATTTCATTCTACATTTTGGTACAGAAAAAAAAATAATCGTTCTATAAACAAAATATATATGAATCAGTTCGAACACAAATATATATAAATATATATATATATATATACAAAAATTTGGTAGACATAGACAAATCAGATAGCGGCATCGAGGATAATATGATGAGCTTCACCTACAAGGACCTGATCGACGTGGCCATCGGCTCGCCGGAGTCGGGCCACGTCAACTTCTATGCGCTGCACGTGCTGCTCTCCAATTTCGCACAAAAGTTGGAGCTGCTGGACGAGACGGTGGAGCAGGACGACTATCTGCTGGCCAATATGAGATTTCAGAGCAGCCTGAGTGAGTGCATCCGCTGGCTGCAGCTAATCTCTGTCTCTATAGCTCTGGCTTGTCTTCCTTTGCAGTCGGCAAATCGTCCAGGTATCGTCTGCATGCTGGCGAAGATGAAGATCCCGCCACTGAGGCGCCGTCGGAGCCTGCTCCAGCTGAAGCAGCTGCGCCGCCAGAGGAGGCGCCAGCAGAGGCCGCGCCTCCGCCCGCAGAGGCGCCTGCAGCGGAGGCGCCTGCAGCTGAGCCGCCTGCCGAGGAAGCCGCTGCGGAACCTCCACTGCCGGCAGAGGAGTCGGCAGCCGCACCCCCTCCTGCACCCGAGCCTGCAGCCCCTGCGCCAGAGGAGGCGGCGCCGCAGGATCTGGAACCGGTAACAGCACCGTCTCCAGGCTTGGCGTCGCGCAACTCATCGCGCACCTCGAGGGCAGAACGGACGCAGCCACGTGCCGAGGGCTCGGTAATCGGCTCGCTGGCCAAGCTGGAGCGCCGCCTCTCCAAGATGGAGCTGCAGAAGGAGCAGAACGATATTGAGTTCCAGAACTTCGCGGGTATCCTGTCGGGCCAGCTAAAGCTAACCATGGAGCAGCTGAATAACATGACCCATCTAATGCTCGATCGGAAACCCAATCCGAATCGGATGAAGCTACTCCGGAACATAGCGCGCCAGCTGCGCGTCCTGATGCGCGCGAATGACGATGAGGTGTCCATCAGCTGGAGCAGCGACGAGGAGGTGGTCGAGGCCGAGGAGGAAATGGCTGATGAGGAGGAGGAGGCAGCCATGGAGGAGTCCAGCGCCCCCACCGAGCTGGCCAAAGTGGAGGAGGAACTGGAGCTCGACCAGCACCTCTGCTATGCACCCGAACGAATGCTCAATGAGCTGCTAGAGCTCAAGTCCGAGTTCTGCTCCCTCACCAACAAGGTGAACGAACTGGCCGCCGAGCTGATGAAGCAGGACGCCAAGCGGCTGATGGAAATGATGCAGGAGATGCAGGTGACTGTGCGAGAGATCAAGCTGTCGGCGAGCAGCAACCAGGAGGCCAATCAGGGCATGCTCACCAAGCTCACTGCCGCCACGAATCAGATACAAACACTGAAGAACTCGGTGGCTCACCTGGATGAGATCAAGATCGACAAGGCCGACGTGGAGCTGCTGCTGGCCGAGAAGGTCGACTTCCCGCAGCTGGCCACAAAGGTCTCCCTGGAGCAGCTGGAGGAGTACAAGGAGCGGCTGGAGAAGCAGTTCTGCGAGGTGCGCTACGTCATCAATGTGAACGAGAAGAATGTGCTGCAGATCATCGACGGCTTGCGCATGACCCTGGGCGTCGACGCACTGGAGCTCAGTCTCAAGGACTTCCGCGAGCTCATCGAGAAGCGCGTCGCCCTCATCGCCGAGGCGCTGCACAAGTACATGGAGATGACCAACGACGAGTGCGCTGCTGCGGCTGGCCGGGTCAAGGTGATGCAGGAGCTCGCCTGCCTCTCCTGCGACACGCCCTGCGTGATGCGCACCGTGGAGCGCTCCAAGCTGCCGCGGCCCGCCTCGGCCAAGGCCACCAACAGCATTGGCCCCATCGTCACCTACGAGCTGGGTCAGATCCGCAAGTCCGGCATCATGGGCTACTACCGCAAGGACGAGTTCCCGCATGCCACCAATGCCTGGACGAACTCCGTGCCGGTCAATAAGTGCGTGCCGCGCCACGCCGGGGGCATGCACACCATCCACACCGCCGACGAGCACATGCAGAAGGTGGTGCTCTCCAAGCGGAACACGGGCTGGGTCTAGCCGTCCGCCTATTTATCCAAGTTTCATCATTCCCCAATAACACAAGCCCAAAAACAAGAAAAAATCCACACAAAAAAATAATATATTTAAATTATGTTAAAGAAAAGACTAAGTATGATCAGGTATATGGTGCAGACCACAGACCACAGAGTGGAGCGGGGCACAGCTGCCAAGACAGCCACCTGACCGGCAACCAGAAAAAAAAAGACAATCAAAAATTATAAAATAACAATTTGATTAATTGTATGACTCACATAAAAAATTTCACAATTAAAATTAATTGTTAGAATTAAAATTCGATGCGGATTTATTTAAGCGAAATTTTAAAAACCAATCTATAAAAAAAAAAACTTATGCCACTGTTATGTAGTCTTTGGTAGGTGGTTTAACGTAACATAATTTGTATTATATATAGAAACGTATTTTATAAATTTATTACAATTATGTTAAGCATTTAACATTGAATTTAATTTTCGCCTAAAAGTATTCAATTAATTTTTATTGTATTTTTATAAGCATGCAAGCATGCACTGCAATATATATATATATATACATACACTTGTATTTTTAAATTACAAGAATTCTTATGAGCCAATCAAAATTGTGTCTACGTAACAGTCGCGTCCCCATGCCCATACTCTAGCACAGACACAAACCATCGTTTAGCTTTATGGCATGTGGGCAAAAACAGCCCTGTGTATCGAATAACCAAAACAAATACACTGAGGAAAACAGAAACAGGTAAATTAAATCAATTTACCAGAAAACAAGTACACTGAACCAATTATGCACTTAGTAAATATGGATAAAATCAGTTAATTATTTTCTTATTGATATTCAGTTATCACTTTAAATACATTTAATATATTTATATAATCACTAATTATATTATACATATATTGTCAATATTAGACCTAAATTTTAAGACATCATTGCTGCTCTATATTCCCGCTCGCGTGCATCGTATTTATTGATTGCACGCTCGCTTATTCTCTCTCTCTCTCTCTCTCTCTCTCTCTCTCTCTCTCTCTTTTGCTTCTCTCAGTGCAACCACTTGCAAGCAGCGGTTGTTGAGAGCGCCGTTGTCTGTCGGCTGCGCGCGGTGTTAAGGCGCTTCACGGCGAACAGTCTCTCTTCGAGCGCGCAGACGAGTGGTTGGTTGGTTGTTCCCCAGTGTGAGTCGTGTCGTGTCGTGTGTCGCTTCGTGTGTTTTGTGAGCGAATAAGTAAGAAACCAGCTGTAACTGTGGCTTTGGCTAGGGGCAATATTATTTACTAGCTCTGGAACAAGTTCTTAAGATCGCCAAATCGAATTAGTTATTAAATGTTAGCCATAGGCGACGGCGCGCATTTGCGGTTTATCTATTGTGCTCGCCCCCGTCGCGCGTCTCTTGTATTTTTCCTTTCGTAGTTTCGGCGAAATTCCAATAAACATTTCCGCAACTCCTCCGATTGGCACAATAATTTATTTATTGATTTGATTAATGCAAATAAACAAAGGCGGTATTTGTTTCATTTCTCGAGTTTTGTTTTTTGGCAATGTCAGCTGAAAAGAATTGGAAAGCATAAAGCGTGCAGCGAAACATAAAAGCAAAAGCAAACACAAAATTTTTGGTAACGTGACGCAGCCGTAAGCAAAACAAACGCAAAACACAAAAAACGAAATAAGGGCTTCTGGAATACCTATACATATTTGTGTACTTCTGTGTGTGTACCTGTGAGTGTGTGTGCGTCTGCTCAACGTGATCTTCAACCTCCGCTTTGGCCACTGCTTCGTTACCTGAGTTGCGCGAGTCGCATTCAGCCGGCAATTACCCGACAGCCTTACGTTATTTCCGCAACTCTCACTCTCCCGCTCTCTACGTTCGCTGAGCAAAACAAAAACGCAAAAAATGGCCATGCAAAGAGAGGCGGGTGTGCAGGACTTTGTCCTGTTGGACCAAGTCACCATGGAGAAGTTCATGGACAACTTGCGCAAACGGTGAGTACGAATTGTATTTTGTTGTTATTTTGCTTTGCTCTGCGTGGCCTTTCGTCTGCCGTCAAGGTTAGTCTGATTGGCAGTCCAATCAGACAACAGCTTCTGCTGCATCAGTTCTAGTTGAGAGCGTGCTCAATGGAGCTAACTTCAAGCTGTTGACCCACTGTCATTTGGCTACTGCTTCCCATTGTGTCCATTCCATGAACCGTAACGAAATGCTCCCATTATGGTGTGTTAGCAAAGTGGCTTAATGAAGTGTTGGTTAAGCTGTTGAAATACTTAATTAAGTTCTTAGTTTCTTATGCGGAGCCCCTACTTTCACTGATCCATCTCAGTCAAGCAGGCGATTAATTAAAAAGTATTTCTAGTAGACGAATGTGTTTCTATCTCTTTCACAGTATATATATTTTTTATTAAATTATGCTAATGCAATTAAACGTGTTTCAGATTAAATGCTTTCTCTTCTAATTTCGTATCGCACGATTGTCTAATTGTAGAAATGATGCAACTCAATTACGATTCACAGTGGCTTCAACAAATCCCACACCTTATCGTATATCAGGCAGGAAACATATGTTCTTACGTACATACATACATACCTAATATATTTGTTGATAATTTCATTAAAGTTTACTGAGTAATTCTTGCCAGCGTGAGAGTGACTCAGTGCTTAGATGCAGATTCCCTTCTAAAACAGTTGAATTGGAATAAATGAATCGATTTTAGTCAAAAAAGCTAAACTAAATTAAGTATTGCGGCTATTATCATTGTCATCGTTAATCATTAGTTCATCGTGGAAAGCGAGACAGCTTAAAGTGCCGCATAATGTGGCACAAAGCGAAGCCCATTTCGTGACGCGCTGATAACAAACTAAACAAATAAATACGACTCGCTGTTTGTCCAGCAGTGACAATGCTTATGCTAATGATAATGACGATCATGATGATTACGACTATGATAATGCCGTTGATAATGAGCATTGTCAACGCAACGAACCACAAACACTCAGCCTAGCGAGGCGTTGCAGCGAATGCAACGACCCGTGTTGCATGCCGTCTGCCGACGTCTGGCGTCGGCCTACCGCAAACGTTGACAATGGATACTGGGCAACCAGCAACAAGTTGTTGACACACGCTCTTGTTGCATGAAACGGAATACGTTACCAACTAAACGTGGGCTAGAATTCTGACTAGAAGCAGGACCAGACAGAAAGAAAATAGGGACAGCAAGCGAGAGTTTGATGACTATTTCGTATGCCTCCTTTTCCTACTACATCAATTTAGATTTCCCATTTGGCTTTTTTAAAAGACCCAATAAACCCAATAAGGTAGAGCAAAGTACAAAGATAAACCTCTTGAATAATAAAATTTAACTTTAAATATATTTGAAATATTTGAAAAATAATCTAATTAGGCTTGTATTAGATTAACAAGTAACTAGTCAAGTGTGAAATTCTGGTCAGGAGTAAACGTGGCTATACTCTATAATTTGACTGAAACGAAACATTGAAGTGCTCTCGTTTCGATGGCATTTGAAGACTTATCAATACAGTCGCACTCACATCTGGAGTAGCGCTCCATAAACTGTCGATTGCACAACCTGGCCAAAGAGAGCGATAACAACACGTTGCGTACTCACATATGCAGTTGTAGTGGACTCGTAACGTTACACGAATCAATTTGTAGATTACAAAATTACAACCCGGAAAAACAAAGTAAATAAATGGATATATCATAGACACATACATATGTAATTCGCACACATATCAATTTTTGAGGGAAAACCCATTGAGCAAATCAGTTGAGGGTCAGAAGCGCGAGCCAAAAAGCCAAAAAATGTGCAGTGTAATGGAAAATGAGGCAAGACAAAGCCAGAAGACACACCGAGAGAAATAAATACCTCACTTTCGTTTTTGTTTTCAATTTTTATTTCTTTATAATACGAGATTAACAATAACAAAAACGACAACAAAAACAAATCGAAATGAAACGTAATGAAGAAGTGAGATACGGCAAAAACTGCATTTTGTATGGCGAGCAGACATGAGTTTATTCAATTTGTTTCCATTCGCGCGCTTTTCAATCCTAAGTATCTGTGCTATGACATCATGTGGGGCTGCGTACTTGGCTATGTAACGAGGCGAAAGACGAAGCGCAAAACATAATAAAAATAAAACAATAATAAAGAATTCCTAGAGTGGTTGAGCAAGCCGAAGAGTAATTACACTTGTGTTGGAAATCGGGAACTCGGCTAACAGCAGAGCAGAGCTTAAATCCTGCTCTTGCCAAGACGCCTCCGTTCAGCAGGGAGTGCCGACTTGGAGATACTCTGCATCCTGACCAGAACTTCTGCTTCAATCATTCAGGACTTCTTACGTGGCTATATACTTTGCATACTTCCGATATTGATCATAATTTGTATTTGAAATTTAATAATTTAATTTGTACTTGATCTAAAATTTAGTTTATTGATCTGCTTGAAATGCATAATAAAACTTGTTGCTTAGACAATTTGTCAAAAATCGTAAAATAATTTTAACAATACTTGGCTAACCTTCGCACAAAGCTCCAATACCCCAGCAAGAGCTGGCAACACAAACACATTTAAGTATATATACATGCATATATATTTGTATAGCAACTGCTTTTTTGGCACTGTCATAAGTAAATATATATATGTATGTAGTACACGTATATGTGAGTGTGCTCTGCCCCTGCCCATGCAACCCGCACAGATATATATAAAAGTGATCCAGAAATAGCTGCTCGACGCGCACAAAATGTATATATCTGCTATATAAATATATATATACATATAAATATATATATATATATATATCATGATGGATATATGCATGCGCTTGCTTGAAATATGTTTTCGAAAAATGTATCTCGAAAATGAAATGGAAAGCCCGCGCCTTCTCTGCCTCTGCCGCTGCCGCTGCTGCTGCTGCTGCTGCTGCTGCTGCTGCTGCTGCTGCTGCTGCTGCTGCACTCTACGCACATGCGAAGCTTGTGAGTCACGCTGTGTATCTTGAAGATACTTTTTGGCGCTCGCAAAACAACGAAAAAATACGTGCACAAATGTCGAAAAAGGCAGCCACTCTCAAACCGGTTGATGGCGTCAGTTTGCAAACCCCAAACTAATGAAAATATAGAAGGAAAGGGAATACCCGACTGGGAGATACTCTAGTCGGAACTAAGAGAATTGTGTGAATGTATTAATGGAGTGCTCGACTAATTGATACTCTAACACAATAAGTAAGAGTCTTTAAATTTGTACATTTTCTACCCCATAAAGATATTCTATGCAAGGGAAGCAACAACAACAATAAACAAGTCAAAAGATATAAATGTAGAGAGAGCTTATACTACTTTATCCATCTGTTACATACCCTTCCCCCAATTAGTTCATAGCCAGATTATTCACTTTCAATCGATTCGTAAAAACGAAAACAAAAGCAAAACAAGTTTCTTCCTCCGCAAACTCAATCTGTTTGTTGTTTTCTCAAGTTCAGAGCATTTGTTGCTTTCTAAAGGGGTTCTCTAATGTTTTTTCTTCCACGAATACCCGAAGAAGGAAGCAAATTAACGAGCCATTAAACCAAGTGTCCTGCGCGGAGGCACACCACAGAGAGTCTCTGCCCCCCATTGTGTGGCAGCACCTATAAATCTAGTTGCACTGATTGATTGCACTATTTCCAATAACAACAACAACCATGCATATGTCTATCTATCTAGCTGCCTATCTATACATGGAGTAGCGAGTGCATCGTGCATTGTGTATTTTACGTATCGCTGATAAGTTTACATTTAGTTTTCGAACTGACTTTTGTTTATGTGCCCCCGAGTTTCTCTCTCTCTCTCTCTCTCTCATCTAAATTGGCCTATATTTCGTGTGCTTTGTTGTAGTTGCTGTTTGTTCGGTAGCCTGCAAAACATCTATAGAGCCCGCATCAGCATCTAGCTATCTATCGATGTATGTACATATGTATATGTGGCTAGCTGCCTATTTATTTAGTTTCCATGAACTGTCGTTGAACTCTGAACAGTTACAGGTGGTTGCCACTATGAGTGCATGCATCCCATTATAAATTTATTCAGAACTCTATCTATAATTATCAGCCGACTTTGCAGTCTTATCAGCTGCCAAAAAATAAAAAGTCCCACAATTGGCATATTTTTAGCGCCATATCATCCCATCAGTGAGTCACGTAATATTTTAAAAGTGCCTGAAAAATACAATAAAATTAAGTTTTTATTTAATTGTCTATTTTAGTTTACTTCTATTCAATTTGGACTGTCAAGGCTTGCTTTATGTATTCGATTTCAATTAAATAAACCATGTCAATATTTCCATCAAATGCTTTTATGGCTTAACCCTCGACATGAATTTACGATCGGAGCAACTTAACCCTTGGCACGTCTGGGTGCTTTCATAATCTTATCTGGTTTTCGAGTCGAGTTTATATGAAATCGGTTTTATCGCTACATTTTTGCTTTTGTTCTTAGTCGAACAAACATTTATAGGTTATATTAAGTACGTTTGTTTCTTTTTATGCCTTTCCATTTTAAAATTGTGTAAATAGCCGCCGCGACTCAACTTGTATAATAATGGCACACTGTTGATAAGATTGCATGCCCCGAAAGAAGTGTTAAACTTAGCGAGGCACAAGTTAAATACATACATACACAGGCACATATATACTTATATACATATTTAACCTTGGGTGCGACTTATGCATATAATGGGTACGAGTATTGACTGCCACACGTATAGCCTTAGACCCGATAACCGGCACTCTTCGATTTGTTATGCAATGAACGCCCCTCATAACGTTTACTGGGGATTATCTTTTCCTACCACTTTTATGACCTTCTAAGGTATTGGCACGAAAAAAATTTCCTGAATACGAAGTAAACTCGATTCTGTTAGGGATCCTCATTGAAGATTTCTTTGAATTTATTTATATTGTCAAATATGAAATTGAATAAAATTTA